CGGGTAGTTCCAGAAGCACATTCATCTCTTAGCCAGCCATGGGGCCTCATTAATCCAAAGGTGATTTACAGTGGGAACTCGGGGTGGGGGTAGAGTAGATGCCTGGGTCTGTGGGGTCCAGTCCGCTCACAGCGGACCCCATACCCTGCCCGCAGCCTTGCCCGGTGGAGGGCCAGGCCACGTGCCCCGTGCAGCTTTGAGAAGTGAGTACTTGAACCCATACTGAACAACTCGAAGGAAGAGGGGTGCAGGAGGCTCCCAGCTCCCCGTTAGCCAGGAGGAGAACAAGGCTGGGGGCAAAGAAGGACAAATGGATAGGACCCCCTCTCCCATCTCCCAGCTTCCACCTGTGTCTCTAAGGGCAGGGCAGGTCGCTCTGTCCCTCACCGGGGACCCTGGCACATCATGACTGTGGGGCAGGCAGGTGGTGGGGTTTGAAGACTAGGTGCCCGCATCCAGGCAGGAGCGGAGGCCTGGGTTTTGCTGTGCTCTCACATGCAGGGGGGTGGGGGCCACCTGTGGCGTGGCACTGCCGGTTCCAGCAGGGCTGGGGTGCGTCTCATGTATCTCTCCAGCTGCCAGGAGATTGGAACCCCAAACCTCTCCCAGGCAGCACAGTAGGGGGTTGGGTACGGGACTGCCTGGGCCAACTGCAAATTAGCCAGGCTGGCATGAAGTGCCTTCTCTGCCTCTCGCCTCTGGCCAGCCCTCCCTGTCCTCCTGAAAATCAACAAGTGTGTCAACAGCGTGGTGATTGTGCTTGGCCGGCGGCCTCCGGGGCTGCCAGGACCAGGCAGGTGCTGGCAGGGCCGCCCGAGCCCCACGCTGGGTGCAGGCCCGCCTGGCTGCCAGGGCTGCAGGGTAAACAAGGCCGCACACAGGGAGCAGGGGAGGGAGGCCAGGCCAGGCAGGAGGGAGAACAGGTGTCTCAGGAGCCCTGCAGACACAAAGGGCCTCTTGTCTCCTCCTCCTGGCCCCAGGGAGCAGCCTGCCCCTCCCTCCTCTCAGGCCCTGCCCAGAGCCTGGGGACAGGTCAGCCTGGGGTGCCCTCTTGGAGCTCCCACCCCAGCCGAATCTTGGCCTTGCTGGCGACGGAGTAGGACCAGTCAGGCTGCACTAGCTGCAGAAGCAGGACATCTGCTGCTGAGCAAGTCCACCAGCCCTCAGGCTTGGGGTCTCAGCTTCCTCGCTGTTTGTTCAGCTCCCCTGGGCACCCAGGCCAGAGAAGACACAGACGGGAGATGTGAAGAGTCCCAGGAGCTCTGGGAGGGAGAAAGTGCTGTCAGGAACGATGGGAGCAGAGGTGGGATGCATGGAGACCTTTTGGCCAACAGTAGCCAGGGTTTGGCCGCACCCTCCTCCCTCTTTATGTATTTATGAAACAAACCTGTACTGAGTGCTTTCCATGTGTCAGGTGGGCTGGGGTGGCAGTAGGGACTGATACAATACCAGCACAGACAAGTAGCCCTGGATCCAGGCTACCTGTGTTATCTTGGGTGAGGAGTTAACCTCTCTGAGTCCCAATTTCCCCATGTGTAAAACAGGGATGCCGGTAGATAGTAGGACCCGCCTTGTGCCCATGTGTGGTTGTGATGGTTGGGTCTGTGAAGAGATGTAGAGCAAGGCCAGGCATCTAGTAAGGGCCGTAGGAAAGATGCTTATTGATACACCTCCCTGTCCCTGAGAATTGGGGGCTCAAATCCACACAGAGCCTGGAGACCAGTGATGCCCCAAGTCTCAAGGATTTCCTGAAGGAATACTAACCCTTCTAGGATTGTTACAAAGAGATTTGTAAAGGAGGGGGACATTTAAGGTGGGTTTTGTGCAAGGTGCAGGAGTTTGCTGCTCAGGAATGTAGAAAGGGCCTTCCAGGCAGGAGCACTGAGTGAGCCAGAGCCCGGAGGTGTGAACAAGCATGTGGATGACAGCAGCTGGAGGAGTGGCCTGGACCGCACTGCCTGGGAAGGAGTTTGGGTGCAGTCCCTGCTTTTGTCCTCAGCTGTTCCTGGTCAGGTGCAGTTGTGGTTGTCACTCAGTATCTTCCTCTGGCCTCCTCACTCTACTCCGTGATAAATAACTCCTCCTCACTTGCTCTGGAATAGTCCTCAGTTTATAGGGTGGCAGGATAGTTTGGTGAACATACCTTGGGCTGTTCCAGTGTTCCAGATTTGAAGCTTCTAGATTTTGAATCTTGATACTGGGCCATTACCTGATTTCTCAGAGCTGGATTTTCCTCATCCACAGGAGGGTAATGATATTTCCCTGTGGCAGGGTGCCCTGAAGATTGGAGGAAGCCAGGTGTGGTGGTGCATGCCTGATATCCTAGCTCTCTGGGAGGCTGAGGCAGGAGGATCACAATTTAGAGGCTAGCTGGGGCAACTTGGCAACTTTGTGAGACCCCATAAAAATAAAAAAATGAACAATGGCTGGGGATATAGCTTAGTGTAAAGGCCCTGGGTTTAATCTCCAGTTACGGGGGGAGTAAATAAATTAGAGGACCGGGCCAGCCGGGTGCAGAGCAGCTACACCCTGTGTGAGCAGGTCCTGGCACAGCCCGCCTGGGCCTCTGTCTCTAACAGCAACCAATGACCTGTGTCTCTCCTTGCATGGTTTCCAGAGGTGAGGGGCCAGGCTGCCCTGGATAGGTGGGTCAGGTCAGGAGGCCCTGGATCCCTGGCCTTGTGCAGAGGGCCTGCTGTACGCCTTCAGGGCCCCCTTCAGGGGGTACCTGACTGTAGCAGGCAGCCATGGGTTCAGGCTGGTTCCTGCGGCAGCTTCTGGGCTGCCTCTGATGGGCAGTAGGGCCCCGTCCTCCTCTCCCCCATGAGAAGCCCTTTGAAATCCTCTTGACTCCCCCCAGTGGCTGTGCTGTGGGTGCCAGGTGAGACTGAGGCCTCGTCCAGCCTCTGCTGCTCTCCGTATGTGTGCCCTCAAGTCCATCCCTCAGCCTCCAGGAACCTTGCCTCCCCCTCTGCAAGGTGCAAAGGACAAGTTGACCCCTTCCCAGGTCAGGGAAATGCTGGGAGCAGAGGAGGGTGGTGATACCACCCTGGCAGACTGCAGTTTCACAGCCTCTGTGTCGTGCTGAGCCCTGCCCTCCACAGTGTGAGGCCTCTTTCACTTTAGGGAGGGGGAAGAGCATCCTGCCGGCTTCCTTCCAGGTGGAGGGGAGGTTGCCATTCAGGGAGGTGGAGTTGTCCAGGTGGTGTAGGGCTTCCTTCATCCTCCTGGCCATGGAGGAGCGAGGCTGGTCCTTGTGGCATATCTGACCCTCGTGTGAGAACCCACTCCGATTTTGCTCCAGTGTCTCTTGGCCTCCTGCCCTGGCATCTTGCCATTGGTTTTGAGAAACTGGTGCTGGGAAGGGCTGGGAGCCCGGAGGGCTGTCTGGATCCCTCTGGGTCTTGTGCAGAGGGCAGTGCAGAGAGCCAGTCCCAAGGCCAGGTCTGGAAGGATGTTTGTTCGGCAGGAGCCACCCTCCTTGTCAGCGTGGCTGTGCGTGTGGACACGCTGCTTTCCCTTCTCCCCTGCAATTATGGCTCTCAGGTGGCTGTGAGGTACAGAGGCCTAGGAGAGGAGTTGGTATGAAGGGGGTGCTGGGAGGTAGGGCTGGGAACATTGCTCTGGGTTCCTGTGGTCAGGTGGCTTTGCAGGTACCCTGGAAACTAACTGCACAGGTAAGAGAGGGAGAGGAGGAGAAAGCAGTGGCCGCTTGGATTCCTCCTCCAGGAAGCATGTCCACGTTTACCTGCAGTTTGCATCTAAGCAATGCACTGGACACAATGTTAGAATCTACCTCCAGGCATTCAGGGATTTGTCATTTATCCATCTTTTTCCAAGATAACTGCTTCTGGCTTTCTGCTTGAGTCTGTGCCATTTTATTCCTGTCCCACTCACACCCTGTGACCTCTCTTAGGTGACTGGGAACAAAACGAGTCAAACGGGTTGTCCCTGGCATTGACCTGATCTCATCTCCCTGGGGCTAGCAGAGGACCGCACCAGCCACAGTGCTGATGCTGCTGTGCAGGAGCTCACAGCCCCAAGCCACCCTCCACCCTGGCCCTGCCCCCAGCAGCCACCTCTTCACCTGTGTCAGGGATCAGGCACCCTTAGGAGCTTGGCACTGAGCAGGTGCTCAGTGAAAGTGAGGATAAAGCCACATTAGAGATAGAGTGTTGGAACCCAAGACATACAAGGAGGAGCTGGGAGGGGGAAGGGACCCTCTGGGGTGCTGAGGGTGGGAGAAAGTGGTTTCCTTCCCAGTGACTGGCCTGAGGAGGCATTTCTTTCTCGCCCGGGCCTTGCAGGAATTAGTGTTGAGGATGAGGAAGACGGAAAGGAAGAGGCCCATTATTTTGTTTTTCAGATTGAGTTTGTTATTGGCAATTTATTACGTCCGGGTCTGCAGCCAAGCACATTCTGTTTTCTGGTGTGGGGGAAAGACACTTGGGGGGGTCAGGGCAAGAGCTGGACCGGAAGGAGGCCTGGGTCAATGGTTTTATGACTGATGATGTGGTATCTTGGCCCTGTCAGAGGACAGTTTAACAGCACCAGTTTGAGCCCAGCCCTGTGTAGGGAGGTACCTTCTGGGTGGCAGAGTACTCCCAAGGGGGACCCCAAATCTCCTGCAAGCAGGGTGAGCAGGCTCCAAACACACACACACACACACACACACACACACACACACACACACGCGTGCGCACGCACGCGCACGCTCCCCTGGCTGGCCATGGGCTTCAGATTTTTGTCTGTGAAACGGTGTTGGAGCCGTGAGGAAGACCACCTTGTAAGGCAAAGGAGGGCTCAGATGTACGGGAGAACCTGGAAGAGGGGGAGCGAGCAAGATGGCCACTCTTGTGGAAGGAACAGCGCATAAGCGAAACAGCCCCCTTGCAAACTGCTGAGCTGGTGGAATATCGATGGGTGGCTGCGAGATCCGGGGTGGCAGATAGAGTCTGCGGGTGCCTGGGCCGTGTGCGCAGGTTGTTGTGTAGGAGTCCCAGAAGAGCATGGAGAAGGCAGGGCCAGCACCTGAGGCTCCTCGTCCTCCTGGCTGGCCTCCGTCCCCACGCTTCCCAAGGCATGTCCCTGGCCCCCACCCCTGGAGGCAGGTCTCCTTCCTCCATCCACCCTTCACGTAAGTTGGTCTCCATCTTCCCTTCTTTTCCCCTCATTCTCCTCCCAACTGTTTGGCTTTGACTCTAAGTAGTCGCGTCACTCTGTCTTCAGGGGCTGGCATCCCCCAGGAGGCCATGATGCCAGAGTAGGGAACTCTGGCGGAGGGAACCCTCTCATGGTGAGGGATGGTGGTGCCTGGTCACCCAAGGAAGCACGGGTGCTCCGGGGAGAGTGAACCACCCAAATGGTGGTTTCTTGCAACCCGGCCACATACCTAAGCTTGGTGCCACCCAGATGCTGGAGGTCAGGTTCTCTGTGGGCTGAGAGGTCTGGTGGACTCTGGGAAGGTCAGTGCTGAGCTGAGAGGTCTGGTGGACTCTGGGAAGGTCAGTGCTGAGCTGAGAGGTCTGGTGGACTCTGGGAAGGTCAGTGCTGAGCTGAGAGGTCTGGTGGACTCTGGGAAGGTCAGTGCTGAGGACAGTGTGCTGGGCGGTCAGGGAGCAGGCATTAGTCAGTGAGCTGGAGTCTGGTTTCCAGCTGCGAATTTGGACTGTTATTTTATTTTCCCCCACATACCGCTGGTGGCCACTTTGCCCTGAGGCTGGTTGCTCTTCTCTTCTCTGGTTGACCGCCTATCCTTGGCTACCTCAAAGCTCTTGCTAGGGACTCATGGGAGTGGGGAATGGGGTGGACTCTAAGACTCAGTTCAATTAAGTGTGTGGAGCACAGTCCTGGGCCTCCAGTGGTGACCTCTGGGTCTGCTAAGATGGGCATCTGTAGAACACCCTTGGGCCCGTGCAGAGGGAGCAAGCACAACCGAGCTTCCAGCCCAGGAGCTGAGGAGGGTGTCTTGGTGGGGTGGGATGGGACAGAGTCCGCTTGGACTGCAACTAGGCGGAGACCACAGACCCTGCGGGAACCTTGGACACAGCCCCTGGAGCTGGGACCTTGTTGACAATGGGATGCCACAGAACTTTCAGAATGGGTGGCTCATTCATTCAGGCCGCAGTGCCTCTCACTGTCTGAAAAATACCCAACAGTACCCCGTTCTTTTCCATTCCATTCAGAGGCATTTTTGCTGCCTTTAAACAGTGCCGAACCGCCTGCTAACAGCCAGGTTAGTGGGCTCTGGGGTGCAGGGCCCTGGCCAGCAGCCTTGAAAGCCATATTGCTTTGTCCTCTCTGCCATGACCCACATTGCTCACGGCTTGAGTCACGGGGCCCAGGGAGACTGCGACCCTTTCCAGGGGAATCCAGCCTGTGCAGTTTGCTGGTGAATGGGCAAACTTCCATGGTTTAGCAGTGATCTCTAGATGTCTTTGTAAAAGGCAGCTGTTGGGTATATTTTTGAATGCGTGAGATCCCTGTAAGCTTTACCAGGTTCATTATATGAAAGGCACTGGGGCAGAGGAAGCGGACCGGGGCCTAAGAAGCCCTGCTCTGTCTGGCAACAAAGCCCCTTGGGTGGCCAGGCTTGGCGCTGAGAGGAGGCTGGCAGGGTTTGCATCCCCTGGCTCTCCTGAACTCTCTCGAAGCCTGGTTGTTCTACCTCCAAAGTGGGAAAAGTCATTCTTGCCAAGGAGGGTGGTGGGGTGCTAGGTGGGTGCGTGGTGAGGGAGGCTTGTCTTGGGGTGGGGATGGCACCGCTCTCCTGGGGGCGGCCCCTCTTCAGGGGGCCTCTGTAGGATCTGGGAAAGGAGAAAAAGACCTCTTTAGGGGGAGGTACGGTCCGACATTGTCATCTAGGACACCTCCCTCAGCCCCCACCCCACCCCCGTGTTCGTCCTTTGCTTGCCGCAAGCAGCTGCACTGTGCAACTCTGGCCAAGTTACTGAGCTTCTCTGCCTCTGCTTCCTTGCCATCAAAAGCTGCTGCTGTTTGTTCCATGGTTAGCGTCATTGCCATGACCATTTCCCCCAAAGCAACCAAGGAGAATGCTGCTATCCCAAGTGCCCAGCCCTCGGAGCAGGGCTGGCAGGCAGGGTGAGGATGGCTGGGGTGTGGACCCTGTCGTGCTAGTCCCAGGAAGTAGCCCAGAAAAAGGAAGGAGCTGTCATTTGCCAGCCGCAGGCAGGGCGTTGCCAGGTGTGACACGACAGAAATGACAGTCTGGCTCAGAGCACCCTGCCTTTCCTGTCCACCCTAAACTGGGGGCAGGAGGGGGACAGTTCTCACCAGGTAACCACTGAGTTTTGTAAAACTGACCGTATTCGTATGTAGTTGGGATTGCTTTGACCCGTGAAACTACCACATTTGTAAAAGCTATCTGCTAGGTTCTGTTTTAGAAATTCATAATAACAAACTAACCTTTGGACTTGGTGCTGGCACAGCTGCCTGCAGGAGGCTGGCAGGAAGTGGAGGCATGGTGGGTGTGTGGGCTGCCTTCCCCTACTGTGGGGCAGGTGAGCAGTGGGCAGAACTGACATGCAGCCCCCCAGGTGGAGAGGGTCACCGAGGCTGGAGGGGGCCGTGAGAAATAGCCTCTTCGCAGAGATCCTTGCACTGCGGCTTTGAACTTGGGGTCAGATAGATCTTGAGTTGGAGTCCACCAACGCCACTTAGGTTTAGTTTCCTCAGCTGTGAAATAGGTTTTGCTGCTGCGGAAAATACCTGGGAAGCACTCAGTTTGAGATTCTTCAGGTCCCACGAAGAGCATCTGTATGTGCTGCCCTGGGCTATCGCCTGAAGGTGGAAATCAAGGGCTTAGCAACACCTGTATTTCCACAACTTCAAAGGGCCAGATGCCCTCCTGCACCTGTAATTTTTATCTCTGGGAGAAGAAGTAATAATTCATACCCTGTGCAAATTGAAAAACTGAGACCTCTGAGAAGTTTGTCCCAGGCCCCACAGTGACTTAAAGGTCTCCAGATACCTCATATGTGCATGGGCTTTTTTTTTTTTGGTACCGGAAATTGATCTCAGGACCTTGCACTTGCCAGGCAGGCGTTTATACCACTGAGCTATATCCCCGGCCCTGCATAGATCTTTATAAACCGTCAAGGGCGCTAAATGTCTGGACACATTGAAATAGTTGTGCTGAGGCCCCTCATCATCTTGGGGAGGTGTGTGTGTCCTGACTCCCATTTTACAGATGGCAAAGCAGAGGCTCAGAGATTGGCCTAGGTTTGCACCCAGAGTTGGTGGCAGAGCTCAGCCCTTCTGCTCTCAGAATTCACTGGCCCTCAGAATTCTCAGCTGGCCCTTCCAGACCTCTGTGATAATCTATCCGAACAGGCAGGCCTGCTAGGGTGGACAGTCGAGAGTCGGAAGGGAGAGGGTTAAATTCTTCGTCCTTGCTGGCGGTTTTGTGCTGGGATCCTCCAGTGACCCTGTCACTGACCCCTTCTCCTGGGTCAAGGCTGAGGCTGTGGGGGTGGGGAAGTACACCATGAGCCTAGTGGCCCTGTGGGGACAGGGAGGGCCTGGGGAGTGAGGGCCGGCAGACTCGCTCCTCCCTCGTCCTTTCTGGACACAGATGAACAAAGACGCCAGTTGCCTTTCCAGTCTCTGTAGAAACCCCTCAGGGCCCTGGGCTAGGCTGCCACCAGCATGGCTGCGCTTGTCATCCTGTGTCGCCAAGAAAGCCCGGTGATGTCTCCCTGGTTAAGTGGGAACTAGGATTCTTTTTACCAGGAAAGCATCAAATGGAAAATCAGAAAACAGAAACATCAAATGGACCTTAGGGTTAGTAGGGCTTTGGGGCTAGCCACTTATTCTCCATGGAGGAGAAGCATGTTCCTAGTGGCCCGGAGAAGCCAGTGTCTGTGACCTCGTGGGTTATTCCCTGCGAACCAGGAAGACTGTCCAGGTCCTCCTCCTCCTCTCCCCAAGTGGCCTCCACCTTCCTCCCCCGCCGCTGCCCTCTGATAGCACAGGCCTGCTAGTGACCGTGTGCAGCCGGTAGAGCACTGTCTCCGTACGGGGAGGGCACCTGAGTGAACCAGACTGCAGCCCCGGGCTGTACAGCAGATCCAGCCAGGACTGCCTGAAAACTGGGCCTCTGCCTACTGCTGAAACCACTACCCTAGGAGAGACCTCTGAGGAAAGGATTTCCAGGAAAGCTGAGGGGCTGACTTTAGGGGAAAACTAAATCTTCCTGTATGCCTATCTCCCATCCGCCCCAGGTCCTTTGGACTCCCTCCTGAGGAATCCTGAACACACCTTGTCGCATTATTGCTCCTAGAGTGAGGGGAGACCCAGCTGGTGGGGCAGGTCTGGCCCCTGCTGGCCCTGGCCCTTTCGAGACACTTCAGTTAGTGACGTTAATCAGGGCCTTGTGCACAGGTCTCAGGCCTTTGGCCCTCCCGGGCCCCTCCCGGAAGGTGACCGTTGTGTGTGGCACCACCTTTATGGCCTCACCTCAGCCTGCCTGCAGATTAAAAGCACCGTGAAAGTGTTAATTATTATCAGTTTCTTGCTCTTTATTTTTAAAAATTGTATTAAAATGTATATAGTGTTACATTTACTGTCTTAATAATTTTAAAGTGTGCAGTCCAAGGGCATTTGGTACATTCACCCTGTTATGCAACCATCACCACCACCATCCACAGAACTTGTTTATTATTCCAGACTGAGACTCGTACCCATTAGCAGCTCTGTTCCTCCCTCCTCCCAAGCCCTGGTAACTCTACTCTCCTTTCTGTTTCTATGAATGTAATTATTCTAAGTACCTCATGTAAGTAGAAGCAGGCAGTATTTGTCTCTTATGACTGGTTTATTTCACTGAGCATATTTTCAAGGTTCATCCAAGTTGTAACATGTGTCAAGATTTGTTTCCTTTTAGCCATGTGCATGCCTGTAATCCCAGTAGTCTGGGAGGCTGAGGCAGGAGGGTTGTCTGTATGATTTAGTGAAACCCTGTTTCAAAAAAAAAAAAATAAAAAGGGTTGGTTATCTAGCGCAGTGTCAAGGCCCTGGGTTCAACTGCCAGTAAACCCCTCCAATTCCTTCCCATTTAAGGTTGATACTCTGTTGTAGGCCTGTGCCGCATTTGTCGATCCATTTTCTATTGATGACACT